TTTTAGTCTCTCGCGACGACATCAACGACGACGGCATCGGCAAAAACGTGAATGAAAACAACAAATTTAGAACTCTTTTCAGCTCCATGTGTTATTCATCAACTATCGATGTCTTGTTTCCGTTGTTATTAACCTGTTCTTTAAGTGTTGGGGATCGGGATTTAGGATCCGCTTTTTAAAAATTTAATGTATCAACTCTCAAAACTATTCAATTTGGGTTTTGTGTGATTTTGGATTTGTGTTTTTTACATGCACTGACATTTTTTTGTTTCTATGCTTTTAAGAGGTGAAAAATGGACATCGGACTACCAAAGCTAAAATATGAAATGGGGAAGGAACCAGTGAGTAGATTCAAGGCCATTGATAATTACTCGGACTTCAAATACATCGACAAAGTGAAGAAAATACTCGGGACAGAATAGTTTAAGAGAATCCAGGTTTCTTTTTTGGGTCCAATTTTTGAGTTCTGTTCTAGGAATCTCTCAATGTCTGGTAAGATTATCCAGACCTTTCTGACAAAAAGCCCGATAACAAAGAAAACTTTGTTATCAGGCTTTGGTTTCCTTTCAGTGGACTACCTATGAGATTCTCTATAAGAGAATTTCATATGGTCACGGGGCTGAAATGGACAGAATGGATGCCTACTGTTGAAGAATAGGCAAACAACTTTGAGTGGAATAGATGGGAGGATAGGCATACATCTGACGAGCTAATAGAACTCATGATACAAGGGAGAGAAGATGCTCATGATGAGAGGTTTTCTTTAGCTATGTTGCTGCTCATCGAGACAATTTTTCTGCATAGATACTCGAAGGCAAGGTTCCCCACATCTGATTTAGGGAAATCCAAAAACATAGATGTACTTCTGAATCTTCATTGGGAGATATATGCCTATGAATTGCTATTAAAATCAGCGAAGCAGACTGTGGAGAACAGTTTAGAAAACCTGAAGTACCCTGTGGACGGGTTCCCTGTTGCGCTTCATCTATGGATCTTGGAATCCTAACCAAAGCTGCAAATGACTTTCTCTACCATTGAAAACACAGTCCCGACCACAGCTTTTTGTGTGTGAAATGATTCAGAACCAAATGAGGGAGGTCATGTCTTCGAGACAACAACAGTGGCTGGCGGGGGAGGTCGTGTCTTTGAGACAACCAAAGAAACACGAAATGATTTGCCAAATCAGGTATAGATTTATTAGCCTAACGAGATACTAGATTATGCCCAGGAACACGAAAATTAGTTAGAAAGTCTTTCTAGATATCCAGATTTCAATTTAATGGAAGCCTTCCAAAATTATACTTGTGAAAACGAAAAATGAATTAGAAATCCTTCCTAAATTATACTTGTGAAAACGGAAATGAGTGGTGTTGATGCTATTGTGTGTTGTTTTACAGATGAATAATGATGAGACAGAAGGGAGAGGCAAATCACAGCAGGTGCCCCACCACAGATGTAAAAAGATAAGGGGACCATACCACTGGAGCAACAAACTGTTAGATTTCTCTTATTTCCTTTGAATTTAATAATTTTTGGAATGTTTTCTTGAACCTATGCTAAACGTTCCTAACATAAAATGTTGGACTTCCAGATACATACCCCTCCTGTGGCTACTTTCACAGAGGCGGTTACAAGCACCAGACTCAAAAAAATGGAGAAGGCTGAGGGGAGCCAACAAAAGGTTAGATTTTAAGTTTCTTTTGAACATTAATATTTTAGCAAGGTCTTCCTTAACTTCTTGTTAAGCGTTCCTAACACAAATGTTGGTTCTCTAAAGCTTACTTGATGAAAGGTGCTTACAGGCACTAGTCCTAAAACTTTCTTGATGAAAGGTGTTTTAGTAGAGTTATCGGGTCAAGAAAACAAGTGGTTCCCTGCTTCGTTGATAAATAGACAGCCATGTTTAGGTCCTATGCGCAGCTATTATTTGAAGTACTTGAACCTTAATAAGTATAAGAATGTCCAAGAGATACGGATTCGTCCTACACTGCCTCATCTGCCTCAGGCAGAACTTTCCACCAATGTTTAAACACTCACGCAAGACATTGATGCCTACCACGTAGACAACTCGTGCAGAGGGAATATGCAAGCGCTTCTTGATGGTCTAGAGGTTTCAATCCACCTTCATCATATCGAAAAAAACCTTATATTCAAAGTTAGTGACATAAGGATTCATAGAGAATGGGTGGACGAGGCGTGGGATCCTCGTGTGGATGTGGATATACAGGTACATCATTCATACTGTGACAAAAGATTGTATTCTTTAAAAGTTTAACTAATTTGGAATAACACTGCACGAAAACGCAAAGACGTCTGCTTCGCCCACCATAGTGAAAAACATTTCAGAGGGAATGCGCGATCAGACAAACGCAAATGATGAGGTATTAATATCATTTTGCGTCATTCCTATTATTGTAGAAACATAATTTTCTAACAACTAACCAGTTATTTTTTGTTTTTGTTGAAGGAAGGTAAGGAGGATTCTCCAAATGAGGTATGGTTTTAGGTTTTTTTTTTCGTTTATATGGTCTGACGAATTATGCTTCCTGTAATCTTCTTACAAATGTATACAACTATTGTTTCCAGATAATCCAAAGTGTCATAAGTGCTTACTTCGAATCAGAAAAAGAAGATGGAAACGAGGGAGTAAGAAAAAAAACATCTTCTTTTGCGCTTGGTAAAAAAATATTTCATGCCTAAATATTGCTATATGATCTTTTGTAGATGAATGAAAATGAGACCCAAACAAATGAGCTAAAAACTGTAAGATTTCTGGTTTCTTAAGGTTATCCTAAAATTTTGTTAAATGCTCCCAATATATCATCATTTGTTAAACTTCAACAATGACCAATTCCCTAGAGCTGCATTCTGGAGAACAAACTTCTTTCTTGAGTTGTTAAACTGCCACGAGAAATTCAATAGGTATCGAACTAAATTACCTTTTCCTGCTAGTGTGACCAACATTGTAAAGGGAACAGGTTTCCCACACAAGAACTGGAAGAAAGATGTACATATCGTCTATGGAGTCGTTAAATACATAGTTCCCCACTGGATTGGATTCGAAATTAATTTCAAGAGCTGCCAAGTGGAGAGTTTCTCGTGCAGTAGTCAACGGGAGAAGAAGCATCTGTCCTGAATATTATTGAGAGGATTACAGGTACACTTTTTCTTTTAAGTATATGTGAGATGATTGAGGAAAACCTTATTCATAGTTGGCAGGGTACTGTTAAATATGATTCCTGATACTAAAAACTTACTCATAATTTAGGCAGTGATGATACCTACCCTCCTCGGTATTTCTGAGGACAAAAAGCCAAAGAAAAATATTGAACCATTCAAAGTCGTCCATCACACTAAAGAAGAGTTTTCGCTGTCGACAATAGGTTTCCAAGTGACTGAATGTCCCGTGTATGTCGTCAAGATTATCGAGTGTCGATCCTTGGGGAACCATGACTTCTCAACGATGGCTCGTATGAGTGTTGCTGATATGAAGGCCAAATATGTATGCGACATCTTTGAGCAGTTTGTGAACAAAATATAGGAACTAAGTGTCTATTGTTTGTATTTTGACTTTGCATTTTGTATATAGTTGATGTTTTTCTTTTCCCTGAACTAAAACTAAAACTTATGACGTTATCTGTTAAGTAAAAGACTACTGTTTTTATTATCTACGGACATAGGTACAAGGTAAGAAATGTTTCTCTTAAAAAGCATATGAACAAACAAGTTAATTAAACAAGTAATTAAGGAATCAGTTAGGCTATTTTTGGAATGAAAACCTAAAAACAAAAACAAAAGATGAAGAAAAAAAAAGGTTTGGGAACGGAGAATCGAACCGTTGATCTTGTCGATTGTCAATTGATGATTTAAAGGCTAAGGACGTGAAGGATAGTTGTTAATCCATAAGATCTTGTTTATTTATAACTGCGCCAAGAGAAGTATTTACATTTAGGATCAAGGAACCTTCCTAAATGTAAATCTATGTTTTTATGAAAATCTATGGACGTTGGTACAAGGTAAGAAAATGTTTATCTTAAAAGCAAATGAACAAAAAATTTAATTTAAAAATGATTTAGGAATCGGTTAGGCTATTTTCGGAAAGCAATCCTAAAACAAAAAAAATACAAAATGAAGACAAAAAAGGTTTGGAAAACGTGTTTCGAACTGTTGATCTCGTCAACTGACAAGTAAAGATTTAATCCATAAGATCTTCTTTATTTATACCTAGGAAACAAGAAGTATTTACATTTAGGAAACTAGGAGTCCATCATCGCACAAAAACCTGAACTTTCACTCTTTCAACAGTTAACGGAAAAATCCACACAGTTTCTTGAATCGTGGACAATGGCGACGGCGGCGATGACTCTCTTCGCAACGATTCACCCAAATGTTTCTCTCTTCGCGACGATAAATACAAAAACCCAACAGTTTCTCTCATTGCAATGACCCTCTTCCCAAGCCCATATGTATCAAGGTGTTTTGGGTCATTGTGTATGATAATTTTAAATTCCTTACAGTTTTGATCTTTCGATTTAATCTTCATCTCGAACTGGGATACAAATTTCCAACTCACAGTTTTGATTATTTTGATTTAATCATGGGAAGAATACAAACTTCTAAAAATTTGGGATGCTTAAGTAATAGCTTAGGAAGGTCATCATGAAATCAATACCTATTTGGCAAACAACATAGAATTGAGAGATTCTGCAATTTTTGTGGCCGACGTTCTTGAATTTGTTGATGAAAATTGTTGTTATTTGTTGTTTGTGGCGTGTTAGGAACAACCATTCTAATGGAGGATTCACAGCCTTCTACGATGATATCCCTCCCTGAGTTGCATTACAAGTTTGGAATGGAGAATTGGAAAAACTTCAAGACCATAGACCAACAGTCCAAAACGTCATTCATTGAGCAAGTTGAAAAAGATACTCGGCGAAGTCCAGTTTCAGAGGACAAGGAATTCTTTTATCGGGCCTCTCCTGAAATTGAGCTCAAAGAATATGCTAAGGTCAGGGAAAATGATCCATGTTTTGTTGGCAAGAAGTTTAAAAATGAAGAAGAAGAATGAGCTCTGGTTCCACTTTGAATCCCACCGTTTGAGATTCTCAATAAGAGAGTTTCATATGGTTACTGGATTGAGGTGTTCAATTTTGGGCTCTTGAAGCTGCTCCACAAGATAATGCCTATGATTGGGATGATCTGAAGAAAGAGTCTCACATAACTGAAGACCTCGTAGATAAAATGCCCAAAGCTGAAAAATATACTTTTAATGAAAAGTTTTCCTTGTGGATGTTGGTGTTGATTGAGACGTTGCTCTTTGGGAGTTACAAGGAATACAAATTCCCAAAAAGTTACATAGAGAGAGCGCAAGACATGAACACTCTACTGAACTATCATTGGGGGAGGGAAGCATATGAGTCACTATTGTCATCAATCAAGTCAAGGTTGCCATCACATTTGGAAAGAGCGAAGTATGTTATTTAGGGTTAACCATTTGCCTTGCACTTGTGGATACTAGAATTCCTATGCTTGATAGGGTCAGGTTTTACCCAAATAAAACTACTGCAAGTGCACAGCAAAAGCAGTTGTAGTACAAGGGGTTATCGAATCCCAAGAGAGTAAGTAAACTACACTAAAGAGTTCAGGTTCGGATTAAGCTAAGCGATAAATAATGAATGTAATGCAAAACAGTAAAATAAATGCAGGAGGGCGTTTTTATGCTTGTTCTTAAAGTTCAGAAGGCTAAAGGCGCTAAGTCAGGACAGTTCACAGGTTGAATCCGAGAGTGTAGAATGCATGCAATCAGGAATGAATTAAAACCGTCTTGAACATGAATCGCAAAGATATAACTAATCAATACTCATTGCAGAAGTTATCTATGTCTAAATCACAGAGTTTCAAATCTCTTTGCAAACCCTAACAACCTAAACATGCAGTAATGATCAGGTTCAATTGTTCACAAAACTCCTAAGCCAAATCTCTTTGTACTAGGGCGTTTTGCTCATCTAATACTAGTTCAGGTGATTAATAATGCTCTCACATCTATCAAAAACCTAGGGTTTCGAAATCCAGATGATGTGTCTAAGAAATCGATATGAATGCAAGCACATATGAAGAACCAATGAATTTCCTAAAAGTTTTTAGCAATTCTACAAACTCTTCTTCAACCTTTGAAAAGCCCTAACTTAACTAACAAACTACTCAGACATGGTGATTTGAGAAAACATCATGAAAAGAATAGATTGCATAAAAGAAATAAGAAGTAGAAAGTAAAGGAGTTCAAAATCTGCTCTGAAGGAGTCTGATTTGTCTCTCCAAAAGCTCTTCTACAAATCTCTCTCTAAAGCTCTCAAAAAAAATAATAAGATACAAGATATATGCCAAAAGAATGGCTGAAAAACCTAATATACAAGCTAAAACACGATCTTGGGCCTTTTTGCAAAAACTGGAACTTCTGGGCCAAAACTGCAATTTCTTCCCAATCTTTTAAAAACAGGCCACGACCTCCTTCCTTTCTGGGTGACGAGCGTCACCAGCTTGGTGACGAGCGTCACCATATGGCATACTTTCTTCTTCGAGCTAGGTACTTCGTGGCTTCCACTCAGAATGCTCCAAAAGGTTCCAAAATCTCCAATTAAGCTCCAGACATGCTATAACCTGCAAAGACTCTTCTAGGACTCTAAAAAGACCAAAAAGACTCAATAAAAAGGACTTATATCATGGTTAAAAACCATAAAAACCATGATATATCAACTCCCCCAGACATAGCTTTTGCTTGCCCTCAAGCAAACATCAGATAGAGTACAGGGTCGAGGTTTGAAAACAAGAAACAGTCAGTTAGTCATCAGAAACATCATACTAGTTAAAGCTTTCGAATCCACATACCACAGAGTTAACACAAGATCAAATTTCAGCCTAATCATCACAAGTTTAGCAAATCTCTCAAGTCCAGTCTAAATCCCTTCAAGAAATCCGAAATTTCTACTGTTAACTCCTTATTTTTATCTAAGTGTGAAGTCTCATCAAAGCTCTATCATCTTAATCACTTTACAGATTCTTTTCCCTTCCTAACAACTGAACAAATCAATCTCAACACAGCTCTCCTATTTTCTCTTACCTGAATCTTTTTCTTTAGGATATTTTCGATTTTTCACTTCTTTTTCTCAACTTTTACAGTCTAAGATATGGTGCTACTCAATACTTGTGTTCCTTGTGAGGAGACAGGTTCTTGAGTGTGTTCACTACTGTTGTTCCTTGTGAGGAGACAGGGTCATGAATGCACCATTCTTTGAACTTAAACTTTTAAAAACTACATCTGGGAAGATCAGAGAGAGACTGTATTTTAACCTTATTGTCAGTGCTTAAAGAGAGAATCAAGATCAATAAGAATCAATCACCAAGACAAGAAATTTAAAGTTCATTAAGGTGGAGCTAACAGCAAATTTTCCAGATTTTCTAAGAACCTAAACCTTCATTGCTAGACTGATCTACCTATGATTTTCAACTTAGTGAGACTTATAATCAACTACTGTGGCAATGGTTCTTATCAGCAAAAACGTCCTATGGTTAGTTCCAAGAAAAACTGACAATTTCAAATTTTTGACTCTAGAAAAACAGGTTTTTGACTCAACTTTAAGACTCTATAAACATGAGTTGGTCAAAATGAAGCATGAGAACGTGTAAAACCAAGGTGGAAAAGTGGTACCTCGCGAAGGAGCTAGTGACGAGCGTCACCAAATTGGTGACGAGCATCACCATCTCTGATACTCCAGAAATCGACATGTTGGATGTTTAAATGCTATGCCAGCATGTGTACTCCGAAGTCAAACTGTAAGAGAACTAAAAACACACATCAAAACATCCAAACAAAGCATAATCCATGATCCAACAAGTTCACAAGACATCATCCAAGCAAACTGAACAAAGTGACTCTTTTTTTTTTCTCATGTTTTTGGGGGTTTTTTTTTAGCTATGTAATAGAAAACTAAACTAATATATGAAAAAGAAAACTTACTAGTGGGTTGCCTCCCACTAAGCGCTTGTTTAAAGTCATTAGCTCGACTTTGAATGCTGCTCAGACAGCTGGTGGAGCAGAAGGAGGCATTGAATGCCTTGGAGGAGAATGTCTCCTCATCCATGGTGGTTTGTAAGCAGTAGATGTATGAACACTTCCAAGGAAGTGAGGAACATCAGCAGAGTGGGTCGTGAGTGTGGGTGGGACATTTCTTTTTCCTGCAGAATCATCAAAAGAAACACCAAGCATTCTACGAGAATCTCGTTGCTTGCATAAGTGTGAAGCAGCTTTTTCACCTTTTAAATTCTTATTGATGAGATTAGGAGGTTTGGAACTGGTTCCAGGAAGTGCATACCTTTGCTTAGTTGCAGGTTTCTGGGTTGTGGAATGGTGAATTTTCGAATTGGCAACATATGATGGACTTGTAGCTGTAAAATTTCGTTGCTGCTTTGTGTTCAGGTTGGTGACGAGCGTCACCAGGTCAGTGACGCTCGTCACCGACTCTGCAGTTCGAGTTTCTGCAGTTTTCCTGCAATTCAGCTCTGCAAGTGTTGCTTCCATCACATACACGTCTTCCTCCAGCAACTTGGCATTCATTAGAACCTCTTTTTTCAAGCCTAGTCATGAAGATATGATCCTCACTGCAATCCTCAAACCCAACAGCTTCTGCAGAAGTTTCAGATATTGGCTCTTCAACAGCCATCTTGCTCACTTGCCTACTAATATCTGATTCATTGACACACTCAGCAATAGTGTCTTCTGAATGCTCCATGACAGTCTCTTCATCTCTAGAAGTTCTTACAGAAAAGGTCTGACCATCAATGGTAGAACTCTTTCTTAACTTATCCATGTCAAAGTTCATGACAACATCACCAAGATCAAGCTCAATGTTCCCCTTTCTAACATCAATGATGGCTCCAGCAGTAGCCAAGAATGGTCTTCCCAGAATAAGAGGATCTTTAGGTTCTTCAGCATATTTCAGAACCACAAAATCTGTAGGAATTATGCAGCCTTCAATGTTAACATGAACATTCTCTAACATGCCTTCTGGGGTCCTTATAGATCGATCTGCTAGGATGAGAGAGATCCCAGCTGGCTTGAAATCAGTCATTCCAAGTCTAGCAGCAACAGAGAAAGGCATCAAGTTAATACTTGACCCTAGATCACATAGAGAGTGGAGAAAACGTCCTGCAGATATTGAGCAATCAAGCACAAAGGTCCCTGGATCAGATAGCTTCTCTGGAACTCTGCTTTGAGTGATGGTATTGACTTGTTCAGAAACAGTCACCTTCTTCTTCTTCTTTGGAACTGTGCCTAAGAGAATTGCACTGATGTCTCTGGTAAGCAATGCTCCTTCCTCAGGACTTACACCATTCACAACCATTCTCTTTACATACCTTCTCAGAGCTGGTGAAAGCTTGACTGCATCGACAAGTGGAATCTCAAGCATCAGCTTGTCTATCATACCTTTACATCTGGCTTCTTCTATCTCCTGTTTAGACTTCCTAGGATGCTTGGGGAATGGTGTTTTGGGTTTATAGACACGTTCCTGGTCATAATTTGCAATTACAGGCGAAGCAGCTTCGTTCTGGGGTGGGTGACGACCGTCACCAGGGGGGTGACGGTCGTCACTCACTTGTGACAACCCCCGATTCTCTTCTATGTTGGTGACGAGCGTCACTCCTCCTTGGTGACGCTCGTCACTCACCTCTGAGACAGAAAAATTTTCATCTTCAGACTCCATGAGTTGCACGATCTGTTCTGCACTCAACCTCTTTTTCTGCACTGTTTTAAGCTCCTTTTCATTCCTGACTGTGATGGCATTAACCTGATGCTTGGGATTGATATCAGTCCTTCCAGGAAGGAATCCCTCTTGCCTTTGAACAGCTCCTGCAGTTTGAGCAACCTGCACATCAAGCTTCTTCATGTGAGAGTTCAGACTCTCAATTTTTCCATTCAGGTCTTGATACAGCGAATCTAGCTTGCCATTGAAGTTCATTGTCATCTTCTGCTGTCCTTCAAGTACCTGCTCCAGCATAGCTTCCATTTTATTGTCTTGTGGAGGTGCAGTTTGGTAGGAAGAAGAACCATAATTCCTGCTGTTTTGGTAAGGTTTCTCAACTTCAGTCTTCTGGAATGGGGGCTTAGGAGTGTAACCAGGCGTGCTCTGTCCTCCTGTAAAGGTACTCTGCTGATTATTGCTGTTGTAGCCTCTGTTCCATTGCTGATTTCCAAACCTTTGGCTCTGAAAACCCTTTCCATTGATGAAATTAACATCTTTCTGCTCAAATTCTTCAGGATTTTCGAAACTCTCCACTTCTGCAGCAAACTGAACTTTCTTTCCCACCAGAAGGCTGTGCATGCTGTCTAACTTAGCCTTAACTTCAGCTATTTGGTTTTCATCATTCAAACCAGCCTGCTGCTTTCTCTGAAAATCTGCATTTTTAGTGTTGTT